TAATGCAATAATGGGTTAATTTGAAATAACTGAGGAATTTGCATTAGGAACTTCTTTGTAGCATGAAATCCTTTCTATTTCTTCTTAGTTTAATAGAACATTTATTAATCTACTTTAAAATGGATTAGATATGTCCTTATTTAACTGACAGACTTAAGATCAATGTCACCATCCAATCACTTCTTATGTATTAACCATAAGAAAGCTGAAAATTTATCCTGCTGTCTGTCCCAAATATCCAAGTGCTCTGAATTTTATTGCAACTCTCCATATGTGATACAGGTACTAGAAAAAGAATTGACTGAGTATAGTCTGCTTGTTGTTCATATCTAATTCTACAATTTCTTATGTAACTTTAAATTTACTTAATATTTTCAAATTGTTTTCTCAACTATGAAATGAAAATAGTGTAGTTAATACTAATTAATGGTTGAAGAAATGACTTTTATAAGTTGACATAACCTGGACCAATGACTTTTAATTAACCCCATCAAAACCATGTATCTTCTGTTTGGGGCACTTGATCTTGTTTTCCTTGAACCTCAAGTTTGTACTTTACCAAAAAGATAATGAATGAATATGTGTATGCTTGAAAATTAACATACCAAACAGTGAAAGCACACACACCCATCTCCATTGTATACAGTGAATATTGTGAAGGATGAATGACCTGGATGAATGAGGTATTCTAAAACTAGTGATCAAAGGCCAGGTGGTCTGTAAAGGTTAGGATGGAGCCAAGGCTGTACTTCTGCAAATAAAGCTGGATAAAGCATTTTGCATAAAATAATGGATGGAGCCTGAGGCTGGTTCAAAGTTCCAGAAAGATTTCCAGCAGAAAATTCTATGAGAGAGGTCCCAGAAGATAGAGGATTCTAAGATGCATCTAGGGGAACAAGTGTCCTCTGAGTGTGGTCCCACTATTAAAAACTAAGTAAGTTTAAGAGTTAGGCTGTTTATTCAGGTGTTCCTAATGTTGGTGTAGCAATGCCAGACATGGACATGAAAATAGAATTGTATGTTACATCTTAAATATTAAATCTGTGATTCTTGGTAGTATGCATTCCATAATGATTAGCAATTATTTGTCTTTATTGCACAATTCTGTGTTTAAACATATTAATTATTTGTTAAACTGTAATAAGTAGCTTGTTGTTTTCAGAAATCCATATTTTTTACATTTATTTATGTACGAATATATTTGGGTCAGGGAACAGATGTGTGGTATATGGGTGAGGTAGCACATATGTAAAGGTCACAGGGCAACTTTTAGGAGTCAGTTCTCTCCTCACACCATGTGGGTTCCTACAATGGAACTTGTCAGACTTGGTGGCTAGAGCCTTTACCAGGTGGAGGCATCTTGGAGGCTCAGTTCTCAGAGTTATAATCTTTAGACTTCAAGACATTTATGTATATTTACTGAGAATAAAAGTAAAGAAAACTTACACATGATTTGTTCAAATTTTATCACATTTGAGTTTTAAAATTTTAAGACAGACTCACACGAATACATAAACACTGATGGTCAAGTAAAACATTTATTTTTACTCCAAAATTTTCTTAACTGATGTATTGGTTTACAGTATCTTGCAGGTATCTGTGAAACAAAATGCAGCTACATATTTAAAAACCCATTCATGTAATATATTCACAGCTTTATTCTGGCAGGAGCTACAGTGTCCCACTCATTCCCTGATGGATGGGAATTATACAGCAGTGACACAGTTCATTTTACTTGGATTAACAGATGACCCAGTCCTTCGAGTCATCCTCTTCCTCATCATCCTGTGCATCTACCTGGTGACCCTGTCTGGAAACCTCAGCACAATCCTTCTAATCAGAGTCTCTCCTCAGCTCCATCACCCCATGTACTTTTTTCTGAGCCACTTGGCTTCTACTGACATTGGCTACTCATCCTCTGTCACACCCAATATGCTAGTTCACTTCCTGGTGGAGAGAAAAACTATCTCCTATCTTGGTTGTGCTATCCAGCTTGGCTCAGGTGCTTTCTTTGGTGGAATTGAGTGCTACCTTCTGGCTGTCATGGCTTATGATCGCTTCGTGGCAATCTGTAGCCCACTGCTTTATTCAAACAAAATGTCCGCACAAGTCTGTCTCCAGTTGCTTATAGGGTCTTATATAGGTGGTTTTCTTAACGCTTCCTCCTTTACCTTTCCCTTCTTTTCTTTTCTCTTCTGTGGACCAAATACAATCAACCACTTTTTCTGTGATTTTACTCCTTTAGTTGAACTGTCCTGTTCTGATGACAGCGTATCTATAGTAATTGCCACTATTTCTGTTGGCTTTGCCATTGTGTTCACAGTGTCAGTCATCTCTGTCTCCTATATCTACATCCTCATCACCATCCTGAAGATGCGCTCCACTGAGGGCCGTCAGAAGGCCTTCTCCACCTGCACCTCCCACCTCACTGCTGTCACTCTGTTCTATGGAACCATCACATTCATTTATGTGATGCCCAAGTCCAGCTACTCCACAGAACAGAACAAGGTGGTGTCTGTTTTCTACATGGTGGTGATTCCGATGTTGAACCCCATCATCTACAGTCTGAGGAATAATGAGATTAAGGGTGCTCTGAGGAGACAGCTTGGTAAAAAAATCTTTTTCTAGATATGTTTCTTATTTTGTATGGCATGATTTAGTAATGGGTGCTCTCCAAGACCAATAGACCATCATCTGAAGTTTGCTTATTAGCCTTCTTGTTATTTCTTTTGTCTACATCTCCTTTAAAGAAAAATTGTCCACATTTTAACACCAATGATCTTTCCAAACTTGAATCACAGTGCTTACTGCTATTTAAAAACTTGAATTCCTTCCATTCATTTCAGTACAAAATCCAGACACTACCACTACCAAAAAGTGCTCTCAGAGCTGAAAAGAGGGCTTAGTGGGTGAGAGCACTGGCTGCTCTTGGAGAGGACCATAACAAATAAAAAAATTTAAAACACAGGTGTTTGCTTGACATAACCTAACCCTGACTTTTGTTCCATTTTTTTGAGACTGTCAGGATCAATGCACCTGTTCTTTTCCATCTGGCAGTGTTTTTCCCACTCTGCCCCAACAGGAACTTCTCAACTTCTCCTCAAATGTCACCTACCCCACTGGGGAATTTATCTTCAGTCTACCTAAGGCACACCACCCAAATCACCACAAAAACCCTTTACCAATCACATTACTTCCAGTAAATCTTATACATCATGTTCTATTTTTTAAAACGATGATCTAATTTTGCAGTGTATGGTGATGCACAATTTTAATCCCAGCACCAGAAAGAGAGAGGCAGGTAGATCTCTGTGTGATTGAGGCAAGCCTGGTCTATTTTAGCAAGTTCTAAGCCAGCTGTGGCTACAGGGAGACTGTATCTTTAAAGGGTAAAAAATGCTGAATTATTTTCTAGTGTCCTCTTCAATGGAGTCTCAATTTGATGATAATTTTTTCATAGATTTATATAGTTTCAGGATTTTCTTCTTTTCTGAAATAAAGTTAGTACTCAATAAAGGCATCTAAAAGGAACGACTGGTTAAATGAATATTTGTTTCTACCTGTAAAAACATTTTGATGTCTTATACAATATTCCAGAAAAAATTTGATCCCTTCTTCATAGTTTATTCCCAACCATATCAGGAAAGAGCTATACATCTTACAAGATTTGGAAATTAATGTCTTAGTGGTCATTGACTTATCTCTCAATTACCCAAGCTCAGCTTATAATATGATGTGAGCATTCTGACATCAAAATTATGGTTTCATTGCTCATGGGGAAGCTAGTCTTTGTTTTCAGGACTTTGGAGTTTGCATGACTGAAGTTCTAAGTTCTCATAGTCAGACACACCTTAAATTTTTACCAAACATTTAGGGATATTTTTCAAGTAACAAAGAACGGGAACTGGGTATCGAGAGAGATATTTGAAGGGCATGTTGTGTAAGTGGTTATGATGAAGAAGCAGAGGCTGGACAGGTGGCTCCGTGGATAAAATTGCTTAACTCCAAGCCTGACAACCTGAGTTTGACCACCAGGACCTACATAATGAAAGGAGAAAACCATCTCCTGCAAATTGTCCTCCGACCTACACACACACAGGCCAAACAGTCATACACAGAAAAGCTGTTATGAGCACTCGCTGCTCTTGCAGAGCTCCCTGGTTCAGTGACCAGAATCCACGTGGTGGCTAAAAATCAGTCCTAAAACTCTAGTTCCAGTGGATTTAACTCCCTGTTCTGGCCTCTACAGGCACTGAATAGATGCGGTAAACAAACATGTTCCTGGTTCCAGAATCTTGCAGCAGCTATAGTGTCAGTAATGGACTATACTGAAATATAATTTACACTCTTCTTTCTTACTGTGTCAAACACAGCAACCACTCACCCTTCCTGGGCCATTGGAATCATACCACCTCCTTCTTCTCCCTAATTGAACCCCCCACAACAATAGGAAAATGGTGTCACATCGCTCTCCTTCGTTTTTTAATCCCATTCTTCCCTTATTTTTCACTTTCCTACAAAACTGGTTTCAATATTCTCTGCCACCTGGAGTCTTGGAGTTCTTGGCTAGTCACTAACTTTTAAGGATATGATAAACTCTCTTGTTAAACCTGTC